TTTTTTTTTTTTTTTTTTTTTTTTTTTTTTTTTTTTTTTTTTTTTTTTTTTTGTTGCTCAGCGGTATTATTCAATTACGTGCATTACATTGAGAGGAACAACAACACGCGGATATCGGTAATTCATGCCACGAATAACAAATGTACAGCGGAGAAAAAAAGAGAAAGTTAACAACAAATACAATTAAACAAACTGTCGGGAAAATAACATCCGCAGCAAGTCGAGTACACACTCGGAGCCCGATATATATCCTCTCCTCTCCACCTCCGCGTGCTTGCAAACTCTCTCCCTCTCTCTGCTGGTGTATTTTTGAGTTTACGTCGTCATGACGACGCCCGCGTGCACTCCACTACGACATGTATACATATACACAACTGCTCGTACATGTATACGTATGGTAGTAAGAGAGAGAGAGAGAGAGAGTTTGCTTGCTTTGCTAGTTGATGCCTCCAGGGGCAGGGGGAGGGTTATATAAATGTAGGTATATATGTATATATTGCGAGGGAAAGAGAGAGAGAGAGAGAAAGGGAAGCGGGCGACAGACAACCAACCACTGGACACAAAGACACCGAAACGTTGTAGTGACAGTATAGGTATACGTGTGTGTACGTGTGCGGGCGATAGGCTCCGAAGATAGCGTAAAGGCGGTTTATATAGGGTTCGACGGGGTAAGCGTGAGACGGAAATAGCAAAAGCAGCGTGTATACGTATACGTGGGGGAGGTGGTTGGGGTTTGGGTGGGTGGATGGGTGATGCACACGCGAGAGGGAAGGAGCGAGCACCGGCGGAGCCTGCCGAGGTGCGCCGAGATAGACGACGGCGTGTATACGATAAGCCCACGTTTTTCTCTCCGTGGGTAGGTGGTGTACCTATAGCCGGGTGGCGGACCAAGCGGCTCACCAGTGTGTCTCGCGGCCGTGTCCTGTGTGATGCGATGCTCCCCCCAAAGTCCCTTCGTGCGTTCGGCGTCGCGTACCCCCGGTGTTTCTTACCACCCCGAGCTTGAGCCTACCATCACCATGTGCCCGCACGCGCGACTCGCTGCGTGACTCTTTCTTCAAAATCCTCGGCTTTATCTGCCATTCGAGACGCCTTTACGGAGCAGTGGGAAAGCTTCTCTGCGATCGGTGTGCTGTTGGTTGTTGTTTTTTTTTTTTTTGTTTTTTGTTTTTTGTTTTTCCATATTGTTATTCGTGTGAAAGAGTGCCTCGTCGTTGTGCAGTCGAGGCTCGTTTCAGCCGGAGCGCATGTTTTGGGAAGAATATCACCCTCGAGTGACAACAAGGTACATCACGGTCCAGCTGCTGAACGAAGTGAGATAGTGCGCGGGTGGTCGTGTAACTATTGTATAGCTTGGTTTCTTGTTGTTATGGTGCCGTGAACCGCGCGAGTCTTGGCTGGCGTCGACGACCTCCGTCCACTGTTTTCTCCACTTGGCCGATGACCGGACCATCACCGGTACTCCGCAGCGTTACCGCCACGCCAGAGACAAAGAGGTGAGAGCTTTCCCCCCCTCCTCCCGCTCGAGAGTCGGACGTGTGCTTTTTTTTCTTCTACCGGTTTTTGGGTGGATTGAAAATGAAAAAAAAAAATGTACGTTTAAGAGCAGGTGGAACGGGGAACCTTTCCGATGCCAACCCCTCGGCGACTTATTGGGTTATTGACAGCTGAATTTCCTTCCCCCCGGCGTTCGCTACACGGTGAGTGCTACTAAGTGGAAAAAAAAAAAAAAAATTTGCCGCTATTACAGTGCTCTCCACGCACTCCCTGCTCTCGAAGGTTGTTTTGGCGTTGGATCTCGAATATCGCGAGCGGTAGTGCGAGGATAATTACAGGGTGTATGTTGATTGCAAAAACCTCCCCTTTTTTTTTTTTGTTTTTTACATCGTTAGACTCCCCTGGCGGAGGAACGACTAATTGTAAACTTGATCGTGTAACGTAATTGAACGAAACTTCGCGTTCGTGTACACGAAATCTGTTTTTTCGTTCGTCGAGAGGTGCTTTTTGTTTTGTTTCACTAGACCAGTGCAAAACAATAAACAAAGGGAGGGACAGAGAGGAAAGAGTCGATCGCATGTGTACGCGGACGGAAAAATAATTGAATATCGATCATAGCCCGGCTAGTTTTTATATTATACACTCGACGTAATCTAGTTTAGCATAATTGTTTTTTATTTTCGTCCAATGGTGCATCGGTCGATAACAATCGTGTAGAGTAGAGCACCGAGTAAGCGCCCAAA